GTTTGCATTTGAAGACAACGTCTCCAGCGATGTATGGTTTCGATGAAATGACAGGCATTTTGTCACTCTTTGGATCTCTTTTGTGACAATTTGTAACCACTTTTTGCGATCCCTTTGTCTCATAAAACGTGATTTTTCACTACAAATGACGTCAGCTTTCAATAAATTAAGTTTTGTAATCAATTCTTTAACGTAAAATCAATTTAATATAATTTTTAATATAAATATTTGTCAATTAATTACAATTAAAATATTTTAAAGTAATAGTAAACAAATGCCAATGATTTTAATTTATTAATTCTTTCTAATTCTTCCAACATTTCTAATGATTTTCGTGACAAATAATACTTCAATAGAAGTTATGAGATTTTGTTAAAGAATTTTTAAAAGTCATCAACAATAAAATATTGTAGGCTAGTTCTGGTAAAGTTACACAATAACTGTTATACTATTAAACAATTAATATATTTATATATATAAAGAATACATAATTTTATAGTAATTAAATTTTTAATGATTTGTCAAATATGTTGCGAAGCATTGCATACCAGGGATGGTCTGATCCATGGGTGACCAATACGTGCCGTTCAATACGTTTGAACCAAAGTCTAAGCAATGAATCACTGGCTTTCATTGAATTAGTGAAACATATAAATGACTTCAAGAGATAGTCAGTGATCGCCGGGTTATACTCGCCATACATTGCCTCAAAATATATCATTAAATTGGAATCCATTTCGTACGTGAAGTTTATGTTTGGGAATATTTCAGACTTGAAGGATATCCAATGGTTTGCATGTATTGCCAATATTTGTTCAAATTCTTGATAATCGATATCTTTATCCAAATGTAGTTTACATTTATCACAATTACAGACCATTAGAGACCGATTTAATTGTCGCCGTCTGTTATCACGATTTATGTATAGCGGAACCCAAGACATTGTAATCTCTTCGCCGATGGCTATGGACTTCATGGCACGGATTTCTAACAATCCATCTGTTGATCACATTTGCTATTAATTCAAAAAATTGTAATAAAATTTAATTAAAAAATACCTTTAAAGAGAAAAGCCGTGTTTGGGAAACAGGAATGACTTATTGGCCACATCTGCAGACACATTGAACTACCACTCAGTTCATCGAAATCCATTGGATTGTCGCTGTTATGGAAGAAGTTATAGGTATTCTGACACATGAATTCATACCATTGAAAAAGTTCTTTAGCCTCAAAATCGATGGACAGTCTCTTTAATTCGTGACAAATCATATTAAAAATGAATCTCATTTCCTCTTGAATACACTTAACAGTTATCTTGTTTTTAATATCATTGAGACTAACATCTGATCCGTCAAACAAAGTGTGTCTTTCGGTCGCAAATGTTTTGTCATTTTTGATCCGAAGATAGAGTCGAAGTAATGGCATAAAAAAAGTATCAAATTCATTGATTGTCTTCCCTCTGAAGACTTTGCATTCATTCTTATGGAAAGACCAGTCAATTGACTGACAATTTCTTCCGCAATAATACATTTGAAGACATTTTGAACATCTCTTCAATTGATCCGTGAGTTTGAGACAATTATCGCAATGTTTTCCTTTAAAAGTTTTTAAAATGCAAACATATAGTGGTTTGCATTTGAAGACAACGTCTCCAGCGATGTATGCTTTCGATGAAATGACAGGCATTTCGTCTCAATTTATAACTCGTTGTAAAAATTTGTGATCACTTTCCCACTAAAGTTATAAATAGTGTAATTATAATAGATTTTAACAATCACATCGTTATATACCTTAACTAACTAAACATTATTAATTGCTTTTATGACTAATATTACATAATATGTACATATTATTCACATTATGAGCATATATTATGCAATTATTAAAACTAATTATAGGAAAATGCATAACTGTATAACATTTTTGTCGAATTATGTAAGTCTAAACAAAATACATTACATGTTTATATAATAATTGTTTAAATATTTTTACGTTTGCATTAATTAACGCTAACTTTTAACTAAAGCTAAAAGTGGTTTTATTTAACGAAAATTATATTTGCTATCAAACGTGACATTAATTAATTATATCCCAAACGGTCTCTTTAAATATCCTCTCCATCGCAACAATTGGTGCCAATATTTCATATCATTATTACATTTTAATACACATTTATAAATTATAATTAAAAGTAGTTTTATTGATTGTTATGAAATACAAATATAGTCCAAAAATAATTATTAAAAGTAGTAAAACATGTCCAATAGTAATCAAAAGCATAATAAATGTCACTTATTTATAATACTGTATTAATTTGGATTTGTAATGATTGTTATATTTAAAAAATGCGAATTAAAACAATTGCAGTTAAAATTATATAAATATTGCATTTTATGTTGAAATAGACACTAAAATAATTAATATTTGTTGTAATTTAGATATTAATATAAATATAAAAACAGTAATAAATTAATTCAAATGGTATTCAATTTTCATTAAATTTTCACATAATTTCAGTTAAAATTTATAATTTTGTTTGATATAAAAAAAATTAATAATTGTGATTACAGTAAAAGTAATGAATCGGCAAATATGTTGCAAAGCATTGGATACCAGGGATGGTCTGATCCATGGGTGACCAATACGTGCCGTTCAATACGTTTGAACCAAAGTCTGAGCAATGAATCGCTGGATTTCATTGAATTTGCGAAACATATAAATGCCTTCAACAGGAATACAGTGACCGCCGGATGAAACTCTCCATAAATTGCCTCCAAATATAGCATTAAATTGGAGTTCATTTCGTACGTCAACAGGGGATGTAAAGTTAACGTTAATCTATCAAAATGATTTTCCTGTTGACCCAATAGTCGAGTAAATTCTTGATAATCCATGTCTTTATCCAAATGTAGTCTACATTTATCACAACTACAAACCGATCCAAACATTTTCAATTGTTCACGTCTTTCAACGCCATTCATATATAATGCAATCAAAGCCATTGTTATCTCATCGCCAACGGCTATGGACTTCATGGCACGGATTTCAATCCACTCATCTGTTTATATCATTTATCACTAATTAATTATTTATAAATAGAAATGTAATTCATTGATACCTTTGCGGACAAATGCTGTGTTTGGGAGACAGGAATGACTGATCGGCCACAATTGAAGGCAGATTCCGATACCAATTGAAATTTCGAAATTAAATGGATTATCGCTGTTATGGCAGAGATAGTGACTGATCTCACACACGAATCCAAACCATCGAAACAAGTCTTTCACATCGAAATCTATGGCAAAGCTCTTAAATCTTTGACACAATGCGTTAAAAATTAACTCATGTTCAGCTGAAATACCATCAATATTACTGTTAGCAGTCATATCATTGAGACAAACATCTGATCCGTCAAACAAAGTGTGTCTTTCGGTCGCAAATGTTTTGTCACTTTTGATCCGAAGAAAGAGTCGAAGTAATGGTATAAAGATTGGGTGAAATCCATCGATTGTCTTCTCTCTGAAGACTTTGCATTCATTCTTATGGAAAGACCAGTCGATTGTCTGACAATTTCTGCCGCAATAATACATTTGAAGACATTTTGCACATCTCTTCAACTGATCCATAGGTTTGAGACAATTATCGCAATGTTTTCCTTTGTATTCGTGTTTAACACAAGATATCAATGGTTTGAATTTGAAGATCACGTCTCCAGCAATATATGGTTTCGATGATATGACAGGCATTTTGTCACTCTTTGGATCTCTTGTGTGACAATTTATGACAACTTTTTACGATCTCTTTGTCTAACAAAAAGTGATTTTTTCGCCACAAATGACGTCAGCTTTCAATAAATTAAGTTAAGTTTTGTAACCAATTCTTTCAAATCATTTAATTTATTATAATTTTTAATATAAATATTTGTCAATTAATTACAATTAAAATAATTTAAAGTAACAGTAATTAAAGTGATAAACAAATGGCAATGATTTTCATTCAGTAATTCTTTCTATAGTTAAACATGTCTTACAATTTTTATGACAAATAATACTTTAATATAAATTATCATTAATTAATATAATGTTTGAAATTGGGTGTAAACTTTGAATGTGGTCGATTTTATTAACTCAAATGAATTTCGATAATATAAAACAGTTAAATCATATAAATAATTGAATTATCCAATAAATTATAACCATATAGTATTATTTGGTATGAGTATTCTTAATTCTTTCAATTTCATTTACACCAATCATAATTTACTCAATATTTTTTACCTATACTGTATTTTAAATTGGTTAATACATTTTTTAATTTAATTATAATGTATATGCGATTCATGAAAATTATTTGGTTTACATTTTGTATATTAAATAAGTTTAAAAAGTGAAACGAGAAGAATAAAGAAGACACAAAAGTTGCATAAATATGAACCAAAGCGTCGGTTATTCATCGCAAACAAATCCATACAATAAAACCCAATCTCCCGTTCAGACAGACTCTCAATGAATAACAATATCTTGAATTTGTTGCGAAATAAACACCTATTAGTGGCCACAAACTTATGGACGACTGGCAGACAATTGTGGGCGCATTTGTGAAGTGAACCACAGATTAAGGATGGGATGAATGTTATATTTAAGAGAAATATAAAGCCTATTGAATACACGACACGGAAGTAATTGTTACTGTTTTTATCAATTACCATAAATAATACCATACATAAGCCGGGAGTAAATAAATAGTAGATCATAAATAATATGAATTTAATCAAATGATTTAATTTGTAGACATTGATTGCTATGAGATGATGAATAGTCAGTGTATGAATTAATTTTGATAATTGGTTGGATTTAATTGATTCACTCATTTGTTCTCTGTTTTGAATGAATTGGTATTTGCAGTAAAGGGCCGACAGGTATAGGAAACCAAATGATGAGAAAAAATATATGAAGATTTGAGTCATCCAAAGGAAAAATATTGAGTTCCAGAATAAAATATTAATGATCTGAAAGTCCATCTCTTTGTGCAAAAAGTATGCCATAAGGGATGAGATGAAGAATATTGACCAACACATGGCTGTCATTATATAAAACAAAGGTTTAATTATATGTTTTCCGTAAATGTTTGCATAGATTCTGTATTTAATCAATAATTTATCCCTTAATTGATAATTAATTCGATTGAGTTTAATATCATTTAGAAATGTTATAACAAATAGTTTAGAGTTTATATCAAACCAGTGAATAATTAATGGTAAATATAAGGTGACATTTAATGCCATCAATGATAACATTATTGAAACGATTGGTTGATTACCCATCAAAGCGTTGGCATCGCTGAAGAATGCCTGAACTGATTTGTGTCGGACGGCACTCGATATACCATATCTAACACAAGTCAATATGTTTACCAAAATTAGCCAATATTTTTTTAATCTCCTCTTTGGAGGTCTGTTTCCAATGATATAGTCTTCAAAAGTAGGCGAAAGAAGTACTAAATATTTAGATAAATACTTTTCAAACTCTATAACGCCTTCATTGCGATCAATGATATGATGTTTCAAATGATGTATTCTTTCTCTTAATTTTAATTTTCGAGTAAAATTTAAATCCAATTTGTGCGACATTTCTGCAATTATAATCAGATTGAAAGGTTAAGTGTAAACATTGTTAGAACATTGAAATTTGAATGAACAATATTTCAGTTTTTATATACAGACAGGATTTTTATAATTTATATGTTTTGATAATTTATACTTTTTAACAAACAGATGCCTTATATTTCCACATTAACTTTATATTAATTAATTTTTGCACACAAATGGGCTATATTTTAATTTTAATTATAAGTTAGTATTAAAAACAATAGCAAATATTGATTTATTTTTGTAAGAATTTTTAATGAAAATAGAAATATTCCATAATAATTTATATAATGTACAGTTTTGTATATAATGTAATGTTTACCGATTTATGAAAATAATTTGATTTATATTTTGTATTAAATTAAATAAGTTTAAAAAGTGAAACGAGAAGAATAAAGAAGAGACAAAAGTTGCCTAAATATGAAACAAAGCGCCGTTTATTCATTGAAAACAAATCCATACAATAAAACCCGATCTCCCGTTCAGACAGACTCTCAATGAATAACAATATCTTGAATTTATTGCGAAATAAACACATATTAGTGGCCACAAACTTATGGACGACTGGCAGACAATTGTGGGCGCATTTGTTGAGTGAACCACAGATTAAGGATGGGATGAATGCTATGTTCAACAAAAATATATAGCCTAATGAATACACGACTCGGAAGTAATTATTACTGTTTTTGTCGATTACCATGAATAGTACTAAAGACAAACATGGTGTCATTAAATAATATATCATAAATAATATGTATTTAAAAAAATGGTTTAATTTGTAGACATTCATTGCTATGAGATGATGAACAGCCAGTGAATCGACTAATTGGGAGAATTGACGGCATTTAATATATTCAATCATTTGCTGTTGATTTTGAATAAATTGATATTTGCAATAAAGGGCTGACAAATATAGGAAACCAAATGCAGAGAGAAAATAAATGTAGTTTGTGGCCATAAATATGAAAAATAGTGAGTTCCAGAATAAGATATTAATGATCCAAAAGTCCATCTCTTTATGCAAAAAGTATGCCATAAGGGATGAGATGAAGAATATTGACCAACACATGGGAACCATCATATAAAACACGGGTTTCATTATATGTTTGCCGTAAATGTTTGCATAGATTCTGTATTTAATCAATAATTTATCCTTTAATTGATAATTAATTCGATTGAGTTTAATATCATTTAGAAATGTTATAACAAATAGTTTAGAGTTCATATCAAACCAATAGATAATTGATGGCAAATAAATGGCAACATTTAAAGCAAACAATGAGGCCATTATCGAAATGATGGGTTGATTACCCATCAAAGCGTTGGCATCGCTGAAGAATGCCTGAACTGATTTGTGTCGGACGGCACCCGATATACCATATCTAACACAAGTCAATACACTCACCAAAAATAGCAAATATTTCTTTAATCTCCTCTTTGGAGGTCTGTTTCCAATGATATAGTCTTCAAAAGTGGGCGAAAGAAGTACTAAATATTTAGACAAATACTTTTCAAACTCTATAACGCCTTCATTGCGATCAATGATATGATGTTTCAAATGATGTATTTTTTCTTTAAATTTTAATTTTCGAGAGGAATTAAAATTAATTCTATGAGACATTTCTGTAATTTTAATCCGATTAAAATAATTAATGTTATGTTTACAATATTTAATCAAATTGTTTTGTCAAAACCTTTACAACTGGTAAACAATATTAGTTTATTTATTACAGAAAATTATATTTGTTTCTTATATGTTGTAAACAACAGATGAGAAATGTTGTATATTTTCACATAACCTGTTAATTACTTGCAATTAATTAATTATTGCACACAAATGTGTAATTATTACAAACAATAGCAAATATTGAATTAAATTGGCAATTTTTAATGAAATTCAAAGATAATTAGTAAATGAACATAAACATTTGAAATGAATTAATGAATGATAATTTCAATTTAAATAATTAAAAGTCGTAAGAATATTTAGCTTAATTAACGTTCGTTATTTAAAAGTCACAATTAAATGAATTAAAATCAATATTAATGATTAGAATGGAATATAAGTTATACAGTATTACACAACGAATAAAATTAATAAATAAGTAATTTTTAAGTTTAAATATAAGAAAAAAATCATTAATTTTATCATAGATTTGATAGAATTTTATTCAAAATGATTGAATGATATGAATGCCAATCAAACTGAACAAACCAAAAATTTCTGAAGCATTGCATACCACGGATGGTCTGATCCGTGAGTGACCAACAAGTGTTCCTCAACTGTCTTATACCAGAGCTCTTTCGACGATTGGTTAGCCTTTCGTGAATCGGAGGCAAAACAGATGAATGACTTCAAGAGATAGTAAGTCTTCATTTGATGATACTTTCCATATATTGAATCCAAATATTGTATGAATTGAGTGTCCATTTCATAGTTGAGATTCTTGTGCTTGAGATTGGAGTTCATCGCCCACTCCCAGTGGTCGTCGTGTTTCTTCAAAAGTTGTTCAAACTCTTGCCATTCATTGCGTTTCTCAACATTTGGTTTACATTTAACGCAATCACATTTGATGTGCAAATAATCTCTGATGAAATCCCTACAGAAACCGGTCTTATCTAACGGAATCAAATCCATAGTAATCTCTTCGCCACTCGCTATCGACTTCATGGCACGGATTTCAATGCTATCACCTGTTCATCATATTTACCATCATTTACTGATACCACTTATGAATGCAATAGTTATTTAGAATCAAACCTTTAGTAATGAAAGCGGTGTTTGGATGACATGAGTGGCGGACACACATCAACTCAAGAGTCACAGCATTTCCGATATGAAGACCAATTGGATTCGTATTATCCATGGGATCGTCGCTATAGTGTCTCATCTGAAAGCTGTTCCCTAATATGAACCGATAGTATCGCTTCAAAAGGGATTCTTTGAAATCAATGCCTAAAATTTTAAATTGTTTCTTAACCACATTGAAGGCATTGACAACAATTGGATTCTTGTCCACAGATATTGTGTTGAGACAAACGTTTGATCCGTCAATCAATTGGTGGCTTTCGGTTAGAAATGTCGGCTCGGATTTGATCCGAAGATACAGACGAAGTAAACGGTTATACATATGCCAATTGGGATCCGATCGGAGTTTCTTCTGCCGCATGAGTTGGCACTCATTCTTATGGAAAGACCAGTCAATTGTCTGACAATTTTTACAGCAATAATACATTTGAAGACATTTCGAGCATTTCTTCAACTGATCCATAGGTTTGAGACAATTGTCGCAATGTTTTCCTTTGTATTTGTAATCAATACAAACCATCAATGGTTTGCATTTGAAGACAACGTCTCCAGCGATGTATGGTTTCGATGAAATGACAGGCATTTCGTCACTCTTTGGATCTCTTTTGTGACAATTTATGACCACTTTTTGTGATCCCTTTATCTAATAAAACGTGATTTTTCACCACAAATGACGTCTACTTTCAATAATTCAAGTTTTAAATGAATTTGTTTTACATTTAGTGTTTAAAATTGATTTTACAAACAATTGTCAATTATTTATCAATCAATTGATTAAAATTTGTAATAATTTTAATTGAAATACAAAAATAATTCATTCAATAAATAATACATTAATTAAATGTATTATAATTTTAAATAAGAAATTCAGTCATAAATAGCTTACTGTGAATAAATATTAATTATTTTAATTTAATTTATAACATAATTATGTAAATTCTGAGCACTAATAATGATTAGTAAGGAATATAACGAATAAATTTAATAAATTAATAATTTTTGAGTTTTATATATAAGAAAAATATATTAATTTTAACAACAATTACAATAAATTGTATTCAAAATGATTTGATTAGTTGAATGGCATGAATGCCAATCAAACCGAATGAATCAGATATTTCTGAAGCATTGCATACCACGGATGGTCTGATCCGTGAGTGACCAACAAGTGTTCCTCAACCGTCTTATACCAGAGCTCTTTCGACGATTGGTTAGCCTTTCGTGAATCGGAGGCAAAACAGATGAATGACTTCAAGAGATAGTAAGTCTTCATTTGATGATACTTTCCATATATTGAATCCAAATATT